CATTTCAAGCATTTGTTTTCAGTAAAACATTATATTTTATCTCTTATTTTCTTTACCCTAATTCTGTACGAGTTTGGTCAATTTAATCAACCTCATAACCTCCAAAAACAAAATCGAAATAATTCTAAATTACCTTTTTTCCATTCTAGAATGACTTCAAATTGTACCATGAAACTACATTCCTTAAACTCATAACAGTATACATCTATTTACAATTAAATTTTATTATTTTATTGCCCTTTGAATCATGTCTAACTACTATTCGCACCATTAAAACTTGTAAGTCACTTGGGGATCTTGGAGGACATGTTATGTTACTGAATTACATTATCCACGAGCTATTTGCATCAGTGGCTTGTTAAAATATTTTATTATATTATTATTTTTAATTTTATATTGTTGCGTATCTGCTTGTTTGTTAATTTCTGGTATAAATTCTTTCTGAGAAACTTCAGCGATACAAGTCCTTTCTTGATTAACCCAATTTATTCTTCCTAGATACAAACTTTTAATACACAGTAATTTCACAGTGAGTATGTATCTCGTCATTCTAAACTTAACAACTTTTATAACACATGCTATAAATCACACTTTACTTATGGTGCCTGCTGTTTGCTTAACTCAATTATCTATCGGCTTTCTTTGCCAAGCTTATATATACTAAAAAAGAGGGCATCTAAAACACACTCGAGCTGGTGGGCAAATTCATGATCCTTCGAGAAACTCCGGCGCACATGTTCTCAGCGTCGCGTGACTTCCTCTGTTCTAACAATATAATCTAACCTTACTAACCTAAAGAGTTTCCTATTTTTGCATTTTACTTATTTTTATAATAACAAATGAAGAACAAATATGAAAAACAAGAAATAAAGTACTTACCCGAGTACTTTTTTTTGCTGTTGACAAAACCTAACCCTACCTTTTTTTTAGTACTAATGGTAGTAGTGCACTAAATAATGCACCAAAGAACACAGACTAATAACACATAAAAAGTAGATAATTTCCTCTAACAATCATAATTTTTCTGGCTTGCTAACTATGCGTCAAGAGTTGTTACAAATTCATATAAGCTAGTCCTTGACTTTCCCATGGAAAAAAAGCTTGTACTAAAAGAGAAATTGACATTTCTCTGTTCAGAACATAATGTAATATAATACATCATTTGATATTTTTATTGGTTATAGATAATATACAATTAAGCATAAGAGAAAACTATTAACAAATCCTGAAAGAGAGGACATGACAGGAAGGGTCTGATTTTCTATTTGTTAGCTCTGTAATCAAACCAAATTAAAGGCTATAAAAATTATGGTTTGTCTGAGTAATGACAATTCTAGTGAGCAATTTGTGTTTTATTTCATAGTTATTAGAGAGGTGGTGGATAAAATAGAGAAGAGGACATGTCTAGAAAAAAATGTGTTACGTGTGTCACACTAGGGGAAATTCAGTTTTTTTTTAAATATTGCCTTATAAAATTAAGAACTTAAAATTTATATACTGTTAAAATATGGATTATTAGCTACGATTTTATGCTATACTAATTGGTATAACATAAACAAAAAGTAGTTTAATAACATTTTGAATGTAAGACAATAAAGCTTTGTGTCATGTGCAGTAAATGATACCCATGACGATAGGGTTAATAATCCCTTTCAACACTAATGAAATACAATCAGTGGTACAGATGAAAAAATGACTAACGTGTGCCAAATAAAGTCAGTTTTCTAGATAACAGTATTTAAATCAGAAGAAATAATAATTAAAAAAAGCATTAGCTCACAACATTCAAACTGTGACATACGCTATCTATCCTCAAGGTAACTTATATCTAAGTAAAACTTACACAGTCCTTCTCTATCAAGGGAACTAGGTCCTCCACCAAATAATCCTCTGAAGAAGCCTTTTCTAGGAGGCTCAGGCATATCTTTGGGTACAAAGACCGTACTTAACATATCTTGTAGGATTTCCCTAGAAAAAGATACAGGTATTCTATAAGATTCTGAATACTATAAGCATGAAGTTCTGTTTTTATACTTTACCATAAACATCGGCATCTATTATATTATTAAACACTTCGGAATCATGGTTGTGGCTTGTTCAGTAACAATCAACATATCTGTTCAGTTATTTTTACTTGTTTAACTTTATAGCTATTAGAAGTCAATCTGTGAGCATATATATTGTCTAATTTCACTATACATGGTAATTAATGATTGACTAGATAAATTATTATTCATTCTGCACTTTTCATTACCTTACCAGAAAGATGAAGATATGGTAAACTTTTGGATTTCTGAAGCAGAACAAAGGTATAAGCCAAGGCCATTAGTACCAAAAGAGAACGTCTTAAGAATCCTGTAAATCAGAAATCAAAACTGATGACAACTTCATTCCTAAATATGAATTTTCATTTGAAATATATATTAAATCAAAACAGCTATATAAAAATTACACATATTACTAAAAATTAATCAATTAATGCTCCTGATAACTTTTACTTTTTATTTTGCTTTAGAGATCAAACAGATCTAAGTAGAAGCACAAGACACTGTCCAAACCTTCTTAGATAGATGCAGTTTATTAACAATGCCTTTCAAGTATCATATCCTCTGTCTAAACCTTTTGTGGAGCACGGTATAAAACCTTGAAAATACTAGACAAAGAAAGTGTACTCTCTAATTTGACCCACTGTTCACAAACTCATGCAGTTGCATGTAATTTGAAATTTCACAAACTGTCATAACCAATTATTAAGCAAGCTCAATGTGTATGAATTCATGTGCACACTAATGTTTCAATCCATCTCATGTTCACTAATCAAAGTTCACTTTCAGATTTTGTCTTTACATTTTCACAAGTAAAGATGTAGTGAAAGTGTGCTCGACTTCTGATTAAGAGCTAGTTTTCTTAGCTTGATGGAAAAAAGTTTTAGCATTCTAACATGGAATTCTTTATGGGAATGAAGAAAGATATTGGAAAAATGGAGACAACAATAGATAGTGGTTACTAGTACTACTGGTGTTGTAGGTTTTAATGCTACAGTCATTTTATTTGACTGCAGAGTTTTCTAGTGCTAGATTCAACATATCCCTGTTTGTATATTTGGGATATGAACCCATATACCACTAGTACTGTAATCAATGGATGTTTTTGTTTTTAAATACAAAAGTCTTTTTAACTTAGAATCTGATTTCAAAAACATTTTATCTGAGCTCATGGATATAGCCATTTGATAATTTTCTTCTTAATCAGGTATGAAATAATGCTTAAGCACAATATGATTAAAATTACAGTTTTCTTTGGAACATCTAACATGACAGATGACGTATTGAGTTTTTCACTATGGGTGTGGATTATTCCAGTTAGGAACAACTATGGAAAATAATTAATCTTTAATGTTCTCAGCTTTTGCTTTAAAAAGTATTGATTTCTTGGTATCTTAGAGACTCGATATGAAAGGATTTTCACCAGATTTTCTTCAAAATGTGAAGGAAAGAAAGGTTCAAAATGTGAATAAATTCCAGTGAAAATAGGTTTATGATCCACTTTAGTGGTAAATATAACATTATGTATATATAAGAACAAAAGTTTGTCATGTTGTTGATTTTTAATAATAAACTTTATACTTGGAAGTTACCATTTAAAAACTGGAGAAATTTGTTAACTATCTTAACATTGTTAAACACCACAAAAATGTTAGCAACATATCTTCTGTAATATAGAAACTAAAAACATTCAGTACACAGCTGGAGACCATAGTCACTCCATCAATCTGTTCACAGATTTTACTGGGAAACCAGAAGATATGAAAATGTAAAGAGAAGAACAGAACATGAACTTTGATCATTGATATACACACTGACTAAGCCACAACAATTCAAAACTATAAAAACAAAAGGGTGAACTGCATCAAAGGTTATAATATTTTAAAACAATAAATTAAAAAAAAAGCCTTTCCTCCACAATGAGACCTCACACATCAAAAATCAGTTTATAATTCAAAACTACTATTACCATTTTTAATTATTTTAAATATTTCTGCTGGATCTCTCTAAACATGAGATCTATACTCTATCTTGGATTTTTTAAACCTAAAGTTGGAAACACTATAATTAATTTTAATTGACTGCCTCAATTCTTTTAGTAATTGGTATTTGAAAATAACTTACAAATAATACACGTTGAAATGAGGTCAAAGTAAAATACTACATCAACTATTAAATCATTTACTTATAATTAAGCTAACAATATTTATATTAGATGAAAATATCTGTAACAAGAAAATATTAAGTGTTAGAATTTACAGAAAACCTAGCTTCAGTAATATAAAATGTCTTTCACTACGAGTTGATAAAACAGTTTATTCTAGAATGTTGAACATTACAATTACAAACTGATTTTAACCCTTTTATGACAAAATGTATTCCAGGAACCAGGGAATATTTGGAAATTTTATACTTATTTGATTTATTGTATATTTTAAAGGAAAGCAGGTCCTATAAATTATATATTACTGGACAGTGTGAAAAACCCTTATCAAAACATGGCCTTATGGTCTCTGGGAATAGGAGATGATGAGTAAGGAGTTAAAGAGAGTGTTTTAAAAAATCTGTGTCATATGATAACAAAAAAAAAAGATTCTCACCTCAGATCCATCATAGACAAATAACAGACTTCATAGAAAAGCCTCAAATTAGGTAGACTGTAGACCACAATATTTCCATTGCCTATGAAGCATGCTAAACACACTTTACCTGGAAGTAAACTCATTTAGATAAGGCTGATTTCAGTACTGTATAATTGCTTTTATGTATTGATCTAGATAGCATTTTTTATTGAAAGTTCTTAATAATTACAAAAAAGCCATGCAGTTTTTTTGGGGGATTATTTGGTGTCTGCATGTAAACATGATGACTGGGATCCTAAAAACTGTGATTCTGTTGTATGACAAAATACATCACAAGCTACTTTAATATGAAGTTATTGTTTGAAATACTAAACAATATTTGCTGTCAGTTTCACTGAATAGCATGTGACATTCTAACAACTAGGTTATAACCAATGAATTAAACCAAAAACCAAGACTGCATTCTGTACAGTAAAACACAGAATAGGAAATTTTCAACCTTTATCAACCAAAACTATTGCACAATGTTTATTACATAACAGTGCTTCAATTTTTTTTTCTTAACATAATAAACATTAAAAATGCAATACAAATACATAAAGGTACCAATACTAAAAATTCTATCAATATGAAATTAAATGGGGGGGGGGGGAGGGCAAACCCTCATATCAACCTGTATCATTGTGTCAAGTTGTACTGATTAGTTAGTTTTTCCAATATTAGATACAAAATTAGATGGGGTATAACCCCCTCATGACCTTCCTCATGTCATCCTATATCACTGTGACAAGTTTGGTGCTGATTGATCAAGAAATGTTGTGAAGGTATATGGAACAGATATGAAATGATAGATATATAACCACTTTTTTTCCCGGACATACACTTTGCTTTATCTGGTAGATTAAGATCACGACTATGTAAAATCAACTGAGATAATACCCCAATCAGGATAATTTTTCTTTATCAATAAATGTGTAATTAACTTTAAAAACTACTTTATCATTCAAACTTTCAAAGATGCATTTTTTTTTAATTACTTTGAAATATACTCTGATACTTATAAAGGTAACAGACAGAAGAAACTGGATTTACTTTTTGTGTTTGATTTCAACAGTGCAGATTAAAGTAAATCCATCAAAATAAAATAAATATAACACTAACTAGAACTTTACTGTGCTCACCACGAGTAGAAAAACTGATTTTGCTTTCTACTGTGTAAAGTCTTGTCTACCAAAGTGTTTATTAACAAATGAAATAAAAATTACTAAGAATTGTATTACGTATTTTATACACAATTTTCTAAAAAAAACAAAAAGAAACAACTCACCCACAGATTTTAGTGTCATAACTTTTGCACAAACAACAAATGATGTATCTGTTAAGTTATTTCTGCTCATACAAGATTGTGATGGGAGAGACACCACCCAAGCTTGCTTTTCAGAAACCATTATCACAAACTGATTATCACAGACTTCAGAAGGTAAAGGAGTTAGGAAATCTGTGTTCTTGGAAAAGTTGTCCATGGTAGCTTGTAAAAAAAAATCATGTTCAATGGTATGAGCTATAAAAGAATATAATATAATCATACTTGGATGAGAGTATTACGAACACAAAGTAGTTTGTAGTAAAAAAACAACATGTATCCAAATATCTTTTGATATTTTTTAAACAAATGAAAAGTTGAAGAAAATAAACTACCCCAAGAATCGTACTGTTTTGATTAAACTACTAAAAATAATAAGAAATTGGAAATAAAAGAATGAATTTCTGATAGATGGTTTTGAAGAGAAAAACTAAAAACTTCAGATTTAAAACACAAACAAAGAGAAAGTACCAAAACCAATTACAGGGAAGCAGAACCATGCTTACTTGTGTACCAAAACCAATTACAGGGAAGCAGAACCATGCTTACTTGTGTACCAAAACCAATTACAGGGAAGCAGAACCATGCTTATTTATGTACCAAGACCAATTATAGTTAAGCAGAACCATGCTTACTTGTGTACCAAGACCAATTACAGGGAAGCAGAACCATGCTTACTATTGTACCAAGACCAATTACAGGGAAGAAGAAACATGCTTACTTATGTATCAAGACCAATTATAAGGAAGCAGAACCATGCTTACTTATGTACCAAACCCAATTACAGTGAAGCAGAACCATGCTTACATATGTACCAAGACCAATTATAAGGAAGCAGAACCATGCTTACTTATAGAAGTTATACTTGCATAATTGATGCATTTCTTCAAGCAGTAAGTTGAAGGTCAAATAATGTTAAATGTCTATGTACATTGCACTTGTAAGAGTAAATGTTAAAAATTTACAAAGAAAATGACTAACAGATTTTACCATTGTTAACAAGAAGGGAAGTTTTTTTAACTGTATCACACTGTTGTAATTTTATTGTTAAAAGCATAAAAAAAACATATTCATTGCTTATTCAACCCGACATCTCATTTTCACCTTATTACTTCTTGAAGCCCATCACTATGTGTTATATAAGCTTGTATCTGTGTGGCTGCCTATAATATAGCTCATACCTTAAAATACTTATTAATGACCCAAGCTACTGAAATTTCAAATTGTCCATTTGGTAAATCTTGTTAACATTATGCTGTGTTAGAAAACAATTATTTTACCACATAGCCATACAAGCTTATTTATTTCAGAATACCTTTCCTAAGATGTCCACAATAAGCTAAGACTCTCAGGTCCAATTGATGTGTTACATCTCTGGCCGTTTGTTAATTTCCCGTATAAATTCTTTCCAAAGAACTTCAGCGATACAAGTCCTTTCTTAAATAAAACTAGTTTATTCTTCCTCAATACAACTTTTCAATACACTTAATTTCCACAGTCACTTTAACTTAAACACCCGCTACAATTAACAAGGATTCACACGCTTTACTTACAGTCACTACTGCTCACTTAACTCAATTATCTGTCTCTATATCTCTCTTCAATCTGCTATTTGCTGGGCTTATATATTAAAATAGGGGGCATCTGGCAAACACTTGAGCCTTCATGATCCTTCTAGAAACTCATCACGTTTTCGATGGGAAGGCACCGTGGGAAGCATATAGAGCACAATTTGAGCTCCTGGCAGAGAGGATTGGATGGACAGAGGAGCAGAAAGCAGTATATCTAGCAACGAGCCTGAATGGACGGCTCTTGTTACTCTGAGTGCATTACTGATGGACAGTACTTGTTACTCTGAGTGGATTACTGATGGACAGTACTTGTTACTCTGAGTGGATTACTGATGGACAGAATTTGTTACTCTGAGTGGATTACTAATGGACAGCTCTTGTTACTCTGAGAGCATTACTGATGGACAGTACTTTTTACTCGGAGTGCATTACTGATAAACAGTACTTGTTACTTGGAGTGCATTACTGATGGACAGTACTTGTTACTCTGAGTGCATTACTGATGGACAGTACTTGTTACTCTGAGTGCATTACTGAGAAACAGATCTTGTTACCCTGAGTGCATTACTGAGAAACAGATCTTGTTACCCTGAGTGCATTACTGAGAAACAGATCTTGTTACTCTGAGTGCATTACTGATGGACAGTACTTGTTACTCTGAGTGCATTATTGATGGACAGCACTTGTTACTCTGATTAAGTTAATGAGACAGTACTTGTTACTATGAGTGCATTACTAACATACAGTAATTGTTACTCTGAGTGCATTACTGACAGACAGTACTTTATACTCTGAGTGCATTACTGACAGACAGCACTTGTTACTCTGAGTAAGCTAATGAGACAGTTCTTGTTACTCTGAGTAAGTTAATGTCAGACAGTACTTATTACTGTGAGTGAGTTAATGAGACAGTACTTGTTACTCCGAGTGAGTTAATGAGATATTACTTGTTACTCCGAGTGAGATAATGAGACAGTACTTGTTACTCTGAGTGAGTTAACGAGACAGTACTTGTTACTCTGAGTAAGTTAACCCTACCCACACAGGTCTTCATGTGGTCACAGGTCAAAGGCCTTGTCATTATGTTTGTTTACTCGCGGTCAAAATTTTAATGAACTACTATTTTATGAATGTATTCCAATAAGTTTGGTATCAAATAGTAGATTATAATTCAAATTTTAGTACTTAGTACAGCACTTGTTATTCTGGGTAATTTAATTACAGACATCACTTGTTGCTCTAAGTAAATTAATCAGAGACAGCACTTGTTGCCCTGAGTAAATTAATCAGAGACAGTACTTGTTGCTCTGGGTAAATTAATCAGAGACAGCACTTGTTGCTCTGGGTAAATTAATCAGAGACAGCACTTGTTATTCTGGGTAATTTAATTACAGACATCACTTGTTGCTCTGAGTAAATTAATCAGAGACAGCACTTGTTGCCCTGACTAAATTAATCAGAGACAGCACTTGTTGCTCTGGGTAAATTAATAAAGACAATACTTGTTACTCTGGGTAAATTAATAAGAGACAACACTTGTTGCTCTGAGTAAATTAATCAGAGACAGCACTTGTTGCTCTGGGTAAATTAATAAAGACAATACTTGTTACTCTGAGTAAATTAATTATATACAGCACTTTTTATTGTGAGTAAATTAACCAGAGACAGCACTTGTTGCTCTGGGTAAATTAATCAGAAACAACACTTGTTGCTCTGGGTAAATTAATCAGAGACAACACTTGTTGCTCTGAGTAAATTAATCAGAGACAACACTTGTTGCTCTGGGTAAATTAATCAGAGACAGCACTTGTTGCTCTGAGTAAATTAATCAAGGAACAGCACTTGTTGCTCTAAGTAAATTAATTAAGGCACAGCACTTGTTGCTCTAAGTAAATTAATTAAGGCACAGCACTTGTTGCTCTAAGTAAATTAATCAGAGACAGCACTTGTTACTCTGGGTACATTAATGAGAGACAGTACTTGTTGCTCTGAGTAAATTAATTCTAAACAGCACTTGTTACTCTGAGTAAATTAATCAGAGACAGGTCTTGTTGTGTCACGTTCCTCTGTAACTAGTGCACCAAGTGTCACGTTCCTCTGTAACTAGTCTATTCATTGTCAAGTTCATCTGTAACTAGTCTACCAAGTGTCATGCTCATCTGTAACTAGTATACCAAGTGTCACGTTCATCTGTAACTAGTGTACCAAGTGTCACGTTCCTCTGTAACTAGTGTACCAAGTGTCACATTCCTCTGTAACTAGTGTACCAAGTGTCACGTTCCTCAGTAACTAGTCTATTCAATGTCATATTCCTCTGTAACTAGTCTGCTGATTGACACATTCCTCTGTAACTAGTCTACTGAGTGACACATTCCTCTGTAACTAGTCCACCCAATGTCACATTCCTCTGTAACTAGTCTAATCAATGTCATGTTCCTCTGTAACTAGTCTACTAATGTCACATTCCTCTGTAACTAGTGTACCAAGTGTCACGTTCTTCTGTAACTAGTGTACCAAGTGTCACGTTCCTCTGTAACTAGTGTACCAAGTGCCACGTTTTTCTCTAACTAGTGTACCAAGTGTCACGTTCCTCTGTAACTAGGCTATTCATTGTCATATTCCTACGTAAATAGTTTAGTTGTAACACACAGGAGTTGAACTACATGATATTAATGTAGAAAATATATATTTTTATTAATTACAAAAATATGAATATAAAAATATGAATATAAAAAAATTCTGAAATCACAAATGTTAAATTCTAACTAGCTGTATGCAATTAGTAATAAAATATTAAACATGACTGAGCAACATACAGCAACTGGAGCACCCAGCTGTGTAATATTATTATTACTGAACTTACTTAACATCTGGTCACAATTTTCTTTGTTGTTATAATCAACATCCTTCCAAAACCCTGAAGGATGGGGGATGAGAACACCATTACTATCAAGGAAATCTACAAGCAGAATGGATTCTTTCAGTCTGTAGATAGTTCCTACAAATAGAATAATACAATAACTCGCAGACCTGACATTTGATTTCTTTCTCATCTTCCACAAACAAAAATTATTAGCATACAATTTTTTCTCCAGTTTATTTTCCATTTATCTAAATAATATATATTTTTGTCAATTATTCTAAATTACAACATCCAAATACTGTGTCATCAAACAAAAACAATGACAAATGTGATAACTGTTTTCTTTCACTATTGACTAAAACTGAATATTTCACATGACATAAACAAGTAGAACAATGTATGCAAAACAAACATACTATAACTTCTTACATCATACCTGACCTCTGAAATAATGAAAATATAAGGCAGTATATTGTCAACAAAGTTCAGTCAGTCAATAGCTTTACACTTTTCTTGCATATATCTAAATTACCTTTCACATCAATTTTCCATTACCAAAATGAGATTATTCAACTTCAGATGGCATCAGAAAGAACATTTCTACACTAACATATCTCAAAAAGTAGCACTTAAACAATAACTACAAAAATAAAAATAATTTTTTAACCATTTTTCATACAAATAAACCACACACTGGTGATAATACATGTACAGCTACAGAAAAGTTTATCAAACAACCACAAGGACAAACAAAATGAGTCATAAAACTATATGATGTTTGTATTTCATAGGTAGTTCATGTGTACATGATTACAGCATGTGCAGAAAGGATGTAAATTACAAAACAATACAAAACCCAAAACAATTTCAACTTTCCATAGATTTGTTAAAGTTTTTCAAAATCAATACATCATACTAAATGGATCATTTCTGTATTTAATGTTAAGTCATTACCAAAATACTGGATACCGAGATTTCTGTGCCACAGATTTTGACTTTCTAATGTTCAACAACAGTATACAAATATTGTTGACTTTCTAATGTTCAACAACAGTATACAAATATTGTTGACTTTCTAATATTCAACAACAGTATAAAAATATTGTTGACTTCCTAATATTCAACAACAGTATACAAATATTGTTGACTTTCTAATGTTCAACAACAGTGTACAAATATTGATTAATTCTTAATATTCAACAACAGTGTACAAATATTGATTAATTCCTAATATTCAACAACAGAATATGATTATTTTGTTTAATTCCTAATATTCAACAACAGTATACGAATGTTGTTTAATTCCTAATATTCAACAACAGTATACGAATGTTGTTTAATTCCTAATATTCAACAACAGTATATGAATGTTGTTGACTTCCTAATATTCAACAACAGTATACAAATATTGTTGACTTCCTAATATTCAACAACAGTATACAAATATTAACTAATTCCTAATATTCAACAACAGTATACAAATATTGATTAATTCCTAATATTCAAA